GTTTCTTTTCTTTTAAATTCCAAAAGTATCAATACTTATTTTAATGGAATCGATACATGCAACATATTCGGTAGCGCTTTACCGGTTTGTCATAATGAAACCGATTTTGTCATAGTTTTACATGTTATATTGTTATGTATCGATATATGTTTATAAAATATCGATACTTTATAGGACCAATATTGCTTTTCTTTTATAAAGCATTTAGGGTTATGTTAAATATTATTAAATCTTAAATATTATAATATTAAATATGCATGTCTCTACGTTAAATGTAAAATCATAGTTTTACCTGTTATATTGTTATGTATCGATACATGTTTATAAAGTATCGATATGTTTTAGGCACCAGTATTGCTTTTCTTTTAAAAAGAATAAATTCGACTATTTATAAATATAAATTCGACTTGTTATAAGTTCAACTATTTATAAATTCGATTTAAATTGAATAAATTCTATTTAAATATTTAATCATTATTAAATAATTATTAGTAATTATTATTAAATCATTATTAGTAATAATTATAATTTAATTATTACTAATTATTAATAAATTATTAATATAAAATTATTAAGTATTAATAATAAATAATTATTAGTAATTTAAAATATTATAAAATTAGTAGTAATCATAATTAGTAATCTTTAGTGGAAACTGTTTTTGTTTATGTTTTTGCAATGTGGGGTCTGTCCACTTGCTCTTGTCTTGCTTTAGTTGTGTTAATAAATGGTCACAAATAACACTTTTGTCAGGGAAAAAATCAAGTTTAATCTTATAAAACCTGAATTTATTGCTTTTATTTTTGCAAACCACGCAGAAAGGCATGGATTGCTTGGCGACCTTTCTTGGTCGCTTGGATAACCTGACGACCTACACAGATCGTTTGGACCACTTAATAACCAAGGGTATAAATGTAGCAAATGATCTATTTCAACAATTAATTTTTCAACAACATTATTTCAAGAATAAAAAAATTTCACAACATTATTTTAAAAATTTTACTAGCAAATTACAAATAAAAGTTTAATGAAGTGAGAATCTATTCACGATTGTAAAATTATGAGAAAGTATACTTGACAGATAATTATTACGTGTGAGTATGATATTTCGGTAAAATCACCTCAAATGTGAGAGTAATATGGGTAATTGATGAGGAGCAGTTTGAGATAAGGATGAATAATAGGGTTTGATGACAACTCAGCCCACACCTTATCTCTGATATCAGACAATTACTAGCTACTGAACTTTGTGTTTGATAAATTTAGTTTTTATTATTAAATTACAACATGCTCGTAAGGTGAACCAAAGAAAAATATATATGATTTTAAAATAAATATTTTTTCAGAAAAAGACAAAAGAAGAAAAAAAATATTTAAATTTTGATGAAGGAGTTTGGACTGATTGTATTTTAATGAGCTGGAAACAGATTATTTTCTGGCATCGAGACTTTAAATAGTGGTGTTTGTCTGGCAGTGTTAGGTCTCACATGACCCACTGTTACTCTTTCCATTTTTATTTTAATAAAATCTCAACATTTTAATTTGTTTCAAATTAAGAAATAAATATCCTTCATTTTTTTGGCTTAACAACCAAAACTACTCTGTTCCCATAACCCGTCTGTTTCTTTCTTTCTCGTATCATGGCAACTTCGTGCGCTTCCTTAGTGTTCAAGGTACATCGGCGTGAACCTGAACTCATAGTTCCGATTAACCATACTCCTCATGAGTACAGATTATTATCTGACATCGATGATCAAGAAAGTAATCGATTTCAAATTCCGGTTATCGAATTTTACAGACGTAATCCTTCTATGCAAGAAAAAGACCCTGTTAAAGTGATTCGGAAGGCACTTGCGCAGGCTTTAGTGTTTTATTACCCATTTGCCGGTAGGCTAAGAGAAGGACCTGACCGCAAGCTGATGGTTGATTGCACTGGTGAAGGTTTGATGTTTATCGAAGCAGATGCGGATGTTACGCTCGACCAATTCGGTGATACGATTCAGCCACCGTTCCCTTGTGTTGAAGAACTCATCTATGATGTTCCGGGTTCTTCCGGAGTGCTAAATTGCCCATTGTTACTTATTCAAGTAACGCGGTTGAGATGCGGTGGTTTTATATTTGCCCTTCGCCACAACCACACCATGAGTGACGCTATTGGCCTAACCCAGTTCATGTCTGCGGTAGGAGAAATGGCTCGCGGATGGCTCACCCCATCAATCCCACCAGTGTGGAAAAGGCATCTCTTATCAGCTAGAGATCCACCAAGAGTCACATGTAAACATCTCCAATATCATGAAGTAGAGGGAACCATTTTCCCCGACGGCGAATTGGTCGGTCAGTCTTTCTTCTTTGGCCCCGCAGAAGTCTTGGCACTTCGCAAACATGTGCCACAACACCTTTATAAGTGTTCGACGTTTGAACTATTGACTGCATGTTTATGGCGTTGTCGAACCATTGCGATTCAAGCTGATCCCGATGAAGAAGTACGCATTATATGTCTCGTAAACGCACGTTCTAAGTTTAATCCTCCGTTACCTTCAGGGTATTACGGGAATGCTGTGGCGCACCCAGTGGCAGTGGCAAAAGCAGGGAAACTTTGTGAAAATCCATTACGGTATTCAATAGAGCTTGTGAAACAAACGAAGAATGTTGTAACGGAAGAATACATGAAATCATTGGCAGATTTCATGGTGATCAAGGGTCGGCCACCACTCACCCTTGCTCGAACTTATATAGTCTCAGACTTGAGGTGTGCCGGGTTCGGGGACGTTGATTTCGGGTGGGGTAAGCCAATGTACGGTGGTATGGCTAAGATTGTGATAACAAGTTGTTTCATGCCATCCAAGAATATTAAAGGAGAAGATGGAGTTCTGATCACAATAAGATTGCCGGTCCAAGCCATGAAAATATTTGTGAAAGAACTAGATGATATGTTAAAAGGAAAGGAAATAGAGGCAAGTGAACGTAAATCGACTATCATTTCATCTTCCTTGTAAAATTATTTGGCATGATGGATTTGTAGTAGAAGAGGATGCAACGTGTTTATAGTGTTTTAAATTGTACTTGAAACAATAAAAATTTAAACATGTTTGTTACAAGTGTTATATGGATTTAAGGATTGCTAACAGTGATTCAGTAGATAAATATTTTTTAATGTTGAACTTTATTAAAAACTTAATGACAATTATTTAGTATCTTTGTAACACCCCAAACCCGTACCCGACCAGGATACGAACCTGAGGTGTCACATTGACTTTTCAACGCATGTACATTTATTAAACTATAGGAAATTTAAACTTTCATTAATATAAGTACGACCAAAATATTACAAAACTGATCAGAGCATATGTAAATTACACCTGTTACATGCCAACACTTTTACACAACAAAATGCATACTGTGAACTTACTTCTAATATGATATTTGAGTGAAGATACGCTGCTCTGCAAATTCCTTGACTTGATCCTCTTGCTCTTCTGAACCTACGTGTAAAAACGCTTACACGCTAAGTCATAGACTTAGTGAGGCATAAATATGTAATACGAAATTTCTACAAATACAAACATGCCATCAACTATCTAATGATAATTATACTTATCGTAAATCCACAATGTCACATATGAATCAATATAAATAATACTAATATGTTAACATATGATCATGCACATACTCTTTATCTTTTATAAGCCCATGTACATTCCCGAGAACTTACGGTATATGAGTACTATGAGGTTGTACGCACATATGTTGTCACCATAGCTCGTATACAATCCACTAAGTGGCATATGAGATCTGTGTCCCGAAGGACCTATCCATATGTTCCGAAGAACATAGGTAACTGTCCATATATCCCGAAGGACATAGGTATCCTGTCCATATGTCTCGAAGGACATAGGTAACCCTCGACTCTTGGCATGCCAACTATACCTAAAGCTCTCATGTCACATATCATGGGCACTATTGTTATATTGCATATATTCATGTATTTCTATCATTTCTCATATAATTACATGTTCATTTTCTTCTGTCACATATCACATGTATGTGTAAACATCTATCTCATATCATATCACATACGTTATTTGAATATATATACACTTTAATCAAATAGCATATAACAGGTCATATAAACATATATAACTCATGCATGTATATGTACATAGTAATTATCTCATATGCATGTCCATAATTACCTTACCATGAAAACTAATATATGAAATAAACTTATCAAGTCTTATTTCCATTGAACTAGATCTATAGTATGCACTCACCTTGGCCTCACTTGCTATCAATTACTTCTATTACTTCATTTCTTTCGATCGAATCCTAACTCGGTGGTTATTCCAGAACTTGCTTACGTCGATGTCTACATAATCATACATTTATACATATCATTATTCCAAATAGCATACTTTGAGTCTCATCACTTAAACTAAAAGAAAAGTCTATTTTCATTTTCCCTTAACTGGGGTATCGATACCAAGACGGGTATCGGTACCGAAATTACATTCGATATTTCCTTGGTATCGATACCTCCCTTATGGTATCGATACTACCTTCCCAGGTATCGATACCCATTGAATGCCTTCGATATTTTACTCTTGAGGTATCGGTACCCATTGAAGAAGTACAAATACCTGTTGCCCAGATTTTCCTTTTTAAGCCCGAAAATCACTCCAAATCAACTTAAATTCTTTATATCTTAACCACTTTAATACTCTTAACTCAAGCATATATACGCAAACCAATTCCTAGACATTTAACACATCTTTATCTTCAAACTCTCATCCTCCCTATGAAATTCAAGAATCATACCAAATTTTCTACTTGTTCTAAATTCAATTTTATCATTTCATATCTCTTAATTCAACCATTGACAAGTCAAATTTAGTTTGAAATTCCACTTATCAACTCTATTCCATGTTTTCATTCAAAAACTCTTAATCTTTAATCTCTACTAACTCCTTAATCCTTTAATTTAAAGTTGACTTAAGCTTCCTTTAAGCTTAAGTATTATCTAATGCTCACAACCAACTCAAAAATCCAACAAAAGATTAACTAACAAGAAAACTCACCTTTGATTTTTGGTTTTCATGAATGAAGAAGGAAGGAGAAGAAGAGAACTCTGGAACCCAATTTTTGTCTTACTTCCCTTTCCACGTGTAACATATATATCCCATCTCAAACAATTATCTTGGTGGTCAAATTACCATTTTGCCCTTTCATCTTTTCAAATATACTAATCAATCCTCTTAAATAAAATTTCTAATTAAATCCTTAAACTTTTAAATTTTTATAATTTGATCACCAAATTTAAAAACCTTCCATTTTAGTCACTAACCTGGTTTTTAGGATGTTACAATCTTTTTGTTGTTTATTAATTTTATTAGAAAATTAATAGAGTAATAATTTATCATCCTTTTTATTATCTATTAGTAAATTAGTAATTTTTTGAATGAAATAATTTTTTAAGATAACTATTAAAAAATCATATAAAAAATAAATGAGCTGCTCGCAAACTTATCGAGTCGAGTTGGACTTTACTTGACTCAACTCGTTCAGATCTCAAGTCAAGCTCTAGTTCGAGTCAAATCAATCTGAATCAAGTTTTTACTGAACTTTGCACGAGTCGAGTTCAAACTGCTCACAAGTGTTCAACTCATTAAACACCCCTAGTCTAGATTACTTTCTAACGTTAATGTACCGCGTAAATGATGAAATTTTCTTCTATAGACGTATGTACATACATAATATAAATGGACATCTTCCTAATTAATATAGAAGCAATGTTGTTAACCAATTCCAATTTGAAGAGGCGATTTCATGGGCTAATCAACACCTTTTTTTTATATATAGAATTGCTGATAACCAATTCCAATTAGGGTTGATTTTTTAAGACAATAAACAAAAGAAAACCTTTTATTTCATGAAGCATATATATATATATATATATATATATAGAAATTATATGATTCCAACCATCTCTATTTGTTTAAGGAAACTTTGAAAAGTTTTTTTAATAATATTAACGATTAATTTTTCTTCCTTTGACCTAAAAGATAGCTTTATTTTATTTTTTAAAATATTTTTATATAATTATATAAAAAAGTTTATAGTCCATGCAATGAAATTGATTTTTCTTCCTTTGACCTAAAAGATAACTTTGTTTTGCTTTGCAACGGCGAAACAAAGAAGAGATTAGTGGGGCTATGGTCCCCAAAAAATATTAAAATAGGTATAGGATAAATTACACATTTAGTGTTTAAAGTATTATTTTTATTTCATTTTAGTATTCAAACTTTAACTTTTTCAAAATCATACCAAATGTTAGTTTATGTTTCAATTTGATACTCCGTAGTTAAAAACTTAACGATGATGTTGACGTGTCATAATAAGATAATACCACATCCTCATTGATATATTTTTTTTAAAATGACACATCAACGGTTTATGTTATTTTTTAACGGCGAGGTACCAAATTAAAACATAAACTAAAGTTTAAGTACTAAAACAAAATAAAAGTAATAGTTTAAATATTAAATGTGTAGGTTACCCAAAAATAATATATATATATATTAAATTTGGTCTCGTAAAAATGTATGTAATAAATTATTAAATTTAATTATCTAAAGAAATATATATATATATATATATATATATATATATTAGTTTAGAATTTAGAAACCACTTAAAGATTATTTATTAGAAGAATTAACATCCATTCTTTGTATTATCCTTAAATAAATGAAAATATATTATCCTTTATCATTTTAAATTTAAAGATACAAACAAAATTATATGTTTTTTCATGTTTGGTTGTTCATCTTCTTTAACATGTTTATCTCAATTAAGTTATCAAGTATTCAACTTTTAATTTTATTTCAGTTGAAGGCTATTTTCTTAAAAATATTTTTTAGTTCAATTTATATTTATGGTTTTATTAAAAATCTATATTTATTATATGAGTCCATAAATTTTCATCTCTAAAAATAAAAATATAGACACAATTTTAGATAACATTATTATCGATATATTTTATTTCTTTAACTTTTATGTGAAAAATGAATTTTAAAAAGGGTAAACTATTCGAATAGTCTCATATATTTTCGGTCTAACCGACTTTGGTCATCAATTTAAAAATTAAGGGGAAATGATCCCTAACGTTATCGATTCATTCGATTTTAGTCCCTCAACCGTTAACTCATGTTCAATTTTAGTCCCTTAATCATGTTAGGGACTTAAACAAAAGGGGGTTAACGGACATTAATAGAAGTGTGACTTACACCAGACGGACTAATAATGTAAGGGACCATTTAGCTTTCATTTCTAAATTGATGACCAAAGTCGGTCAGACCTTAAACAAAAGGACTATTTACATAGTTTACCCTTTTAAAATTTTATATTTTTTTATTAATACGATACTTTGATTTATAATTTATATTAAAATATTTTAATTAATGAATAAAGATTTTTTTTTAAAATGGTCTCCTCAACATATAATGTTTAGTTTCGCCAATGTTGTTTTAGACATGAAAGTATCATATTATTGTTTAATTAAAAATGTTTGAAATAAAGGTTAATAAATTTCTTGTAATGAATAAAATTATAATTATCTTCTTTTAAGATTTGAACACGATGATTTAAAATTAATTCGAAATTTAAAATAAATTGAATTGAATTGAAACGATCTGAATTTTAACTAGATCAATATGAAATTGAATCAAAATTAACTAAAACTGAATACAAATTGAACCGAAAGTAATTCAAATTAAAAACAGTCTGAATTTAATTTATCTAAATATAATTTGAATCGAACATCTATTTAATTTTAATATAATAATTAAATCAAATCAATAAATATTTAATTTTTATTATTATATTTTTTAGCAATGTGATAGATAATAAAATGAGAAACAAAGTCACCAACAAAAAGCCAAGTGTAATCCACCAGGGCTGGGGAAACAAAACTGAAAAAGTAATGCAGTGACTAAAAACGGAGATCTAAAAAGCAAACAATGAAAAATGGTGGAACAAAGAAACTCAAAAGTTTGAAAAGACTAGTCAAAGTGACAAAGAAAATAAAAACATTAGAGAAAGTAAGTCAGGGTTTAATCTAAGAACACTATATGTGTGGAAACCTGGGGCTTAATATTAAAATATGATACATGCACCGAAACCTATAATAATAAAGCCTTATTCAAAGAATAATGATACAAAGAATAATCTTTAGATTAATGATTTTTCAAACCTATTCAAAGAATAAAGTCCCGAAGATTCAAAGCACATCTACTAGATTCGAGGTAGAATCTTTTTGAAGATAGGGAGGATGATACATATATCACAAGGCTCAAAGGAAGATAGATTGACACTTCTAATTGATCCACACGAACAAACCTTGGAAAAGAAGAATAGCATAACAAAATACTTGTGACTGCTTTTCAAATGGGACTTTGATCTTATTCAGTTAACATTTCTTCTAGAGATATGAGTAGTTGTCTCTTAGCTTTCCAACAGATTTTTAATCGCATCAATCTGATATCGAAAACTCAAGATACGTTTATTTTACTGAAGACAACGCATGCATAAATTCCTATACAACATTAATATGAGATTTTATAAATATTATGAATTTTCAATATTTTTTATTGATTATTTTTATATAATTTAATATAGGATGATGTATTATCTTTTAGGATTAGATTTATTATTTTATTAGGAATTAAGATTGAGTTAAAAATTATTCTTAGTTTATTATTATTTTATTAGGAATTATGATATAATCGAAACATTATCTTTATTCATTAGTCATGTTACAACAAGGACTTCTCACCCTATATAAAGGAGGCTTCGTTCAACTTTGAAAAGGTAGATTTCTTTGATTAATAATACAACGAGAGTTTGTTTTTGCAAGTGTTGATTGTCTTATGCCTTCAAAGTTTCTTTTCATTAAGTTCTTTCAAGTTCATTGTGAGAGAGATTTTCACACTCCGATTTGCCTTCGATTGTGATTAAAAGGGCTGGTTAGAGCCGATTATCGAATTTTCCTAGTCAATTGCGGCTAGGAGGGTTCATAGGAAAACTATCTATCTATCAATCATCATCATCATCCGCTACCGATTCTCTATCAATTGGTATCAAATTTAGGCCGATTTCTGGAAAGAATAAAGCAATATTGTTTGTTCGTGCACACAAAACCTCCAAAGTACCCCAACGAAGCTAGTTCGCAAAGATTCATCGTTTTCAGGATGGTAAAAGACGACAAAGTTACTGAGGCATTTCAAGACCTCATGGTTGCTATTAATAGAGAAATAAATGTGCCAACCCTACTTCAAAAAAGATTATATTTTACCTTTCTCGTGTTGGAATCCTAACTCCATCCGTGCCAACCCTTATATTCACTTAAACTTATCATATAGCAAACCATGGTCCATTTCAAAGTTGTTAAAATTGTTATATTGAAAGAGGGATGAAGAGTGGGGTTTGATAACAACCTAACACCTTTTTATTCTATTACGTTAATACCACTTCGAATTTGTCATATAGCAAACCATGAGTTTTCCAACCGAGTCCAAGTGCTTGAAGTTGTTATATCAGACAAATTCTAGGAAACGGCGTTTTGTTGTGTAAGGATTCCTTGGCTACTACTGGACCTTAGTGTTGGCTGGACAACGATCAACTCCATTAACATTACTACTGTTGTTATTATATACCAAAACAAAGAAGAAAATAACAGTTTCTGAAGATGATGATTGCGGAATCGAATAAGTCCATGTTGTGTTTGGGATTAAAATATCTTTTGTGGAAATTATTGTTAACTTCATTATTGGCATTCATCACTTTGAAACCAACTCGGCCAATTTCGTTTGGTTGGTTTTTGTATTTATCCCCTCAAAGAACAATATTCATTTGGTACTACTACAAAATTATGGGTAATTAGCCTTTTTTTGTCACTTGATTTTAAATAATTATCAAATAATCATTTAAGATAATCATTCAAACATTAATTTTTATTATAATATCGGACTATTTAAGATAATATGATATGTCTTAATTATTTTTAATAATATAAATAAAAATCATTTCTATTTAAATTAAAATTACATGTAATGTAATATATGTATGGGGGTGGAAACTAAATTTAAGAATTTTTTGGGCTGGAGATAGATACAAAAGAAAAGTAACAAAATAAAACAAATAATAGTTTGGTGGGGGAATAGAAAAAATGATATTGGGCCTAATTATTCCAAGTCTAGTCAATAAAGTTTACTTTAATGGGTCAGTCAAGCAACTGGCTGCCCGGAAATTCACACCAGTTTTACCAACCCTACCACGATGCAACTTCTCAACAACCTCAACACCGTTCAAATGTGTGTTTTTCCCCCATTTCTTTGAATATCTTTCACTAAAATAATTTTGCAACAAATCACGAAATGCCCATATATTTCTTCCTATAAATACCACACTTACAAGCACTCAACCAACCCAACAACACTCCTACTCCATTTCCACACTTGATCTTCCTTTTGGTCTCATGGCAACTTCTTCAACTTCCTTAGTCTTCAAGGTTCATCGTCGTGAACCGGAACTCATAGCTCCGGCTAAGCCTACCCCTCGAGAGTACAAACTATTATCCGATATCGATGATCAAGAAGGTCTTCGATTTCAGATTCCGGTTATCCAATTTTACAGATATAATCATTCCATGCAAGGAAAAGATCCCGTTAGAGTGATTAGGGAGGCACTTGCACAAACCCTGGTGTTTTATTACCCGTTTGCGGGCAGGTTAAGAGAAGGACCTCAGCGGAAACTGATTGTTGATTGCACCGGAGAAGGCTTGATGTTCATCGAAGCGGATGCAGATGTTACACTTGAGCAGTTCGGTGATGTACTTCAACCACCGTTCCCTTGCTTGGAGGAACTCTTGTACGATGTTCCGGGTTCTGCTAATGTGCTCAACTGTCCATTGATACTTATTCAGGTACTTATTTTTTTTATAGTCGTTTTTAGCTATATTATTCAAATTTTGGGCGATTTCTAAATACTATTTGAACATATTTCAAATATAAATATTAAATACAAGTATACGTTTGAAAAAACAAAATCTATTTTCATAGGTTATTAGTACTCGTAATTTTTTTAAAAAAATAAATCTCAATATTATGTAAGCATAATATTTTTTCTTTGGATAGAAATTATTAATTTTATTCAAAATATAAAATATTCTAAATTACAATAAATATTTACAAATATAATCATAAATTAAACACATAATTAGGATAATTTTCTATAATTATTGAAATAAACGTAGCAACTTAAGATTACATAAGGACCATACAAGGAAATATTAAAATTTAAGAATACTCAAACAAAGATAGATATAAACAAATCTGGTTACATTAACAAATAAACCACAAAAAATGATCAAACTATTGAAAAACTATTGACGAACCGTAAAATCAAACTTGAGTAACGTGAAAAATAAAATTAAATAAAAGTATATCATTATTAAAATAATAATCGGATCAAGCCAACAAAATTATATACTACCTTTTCCGAGACAAACTACCTTGTTCGTTATCTTAATAATAGTTGTTATGTTGTATATTCTTATTTAATAAATATTGATAAATCTTATATAAAAATAAATAAATTTTGATAAATTTATAATTAATTAATTATGTGTATATGCAATTTAGTTTTTTCTATAGAGAAATAATTTCAGGTTTAATATAAAATGGAAATTAAAAGATGAAATGATGTATCATAAAAGCATGGTCCGCCACTTCAATTATATTAGGGGGAAAAAAGGTTTGTCGATCACTATATAGGTAAAGTTACTTTTGTCTCACCATTTTTATCATTAAGTCCAAACACTATCGATGCTCATAGGACCACCCACTTGATAATAATGTAAATAATTATTCAATTGATCAAAATTTTAATTTAAAATGTAATTATTATTGTGAGACGAAAATAATTTTTAACTTGATAATTTAAATAAAATATATGTTTATTATTATTTTTTATTTCATAATCAAAATTTCAACGTACGTTTTTTTTTGGTTGAAAATGTAATATATATAGCACTATTATATTCAACATTTATTGAGACAATTCAACTTTCGTATAAAAAAATATTTTTAAAATATAAAATTTGAAAGATTAGACAAGTTTCCTTGAGTTAATTATAAATAATTTTATATTAATATATATTTATTTTGTGAATCTAGTATGTTAACTGTTGGATTCGTGTATACATTTCAAGATGGGGCCCAAGCCTGCAATTCATAAAAGAATTTCCTCCACGTAAATTGAGTTTATAATTTTATATAAAGGAAAAGAAAAATCAATTGGAAACATACAAAAGCACGAGTCACGTGTAACTAGGCACCATTCGTTTTTTTTTTGTCAATAACTTTAATTCTTTGAAAAATATTACTATAAAAATTTATGAGTTCAAATTAATAAATGTTAGTTAGACTTTATGAATACATATTACGTTTTTATGTTATGTTTGAGTATGATGTTTATACAATTTTAATTCATAGGTGACACGATTAAGATGTGGTGGTTTTATTTTTGCACTCCGTCTAAATCACACTATGAGTGATGCTGCCGGAATATCCCAATTCATGTCCGCTGTAGGAGAAGTGGCTCGTGGTTGGCTCTCCCCGTCGATCCCACCCGTATGGGAAAGACATCTCTTAGCAGCTAGAGATCCACCAAGAGTCGCATGTAAACACCGTGAGTACGACGAAGTAGAGGGAACCATTGTTCCCTACGACGACATGGTCCATCGATCCTTTTTCTTCGGCCCCACTGAAGTTTCAGCACTTCGCAAACTTGTGCCACAACACGTTAGTAAGTGTTCGACTTTTGAGCTATTGACTGCTTGCTTATGGCGTTGTAGAACCATCGCAATTCAAGCTAACCCCGAGGAAGAGGTGCGCATCATCTGCATTGTAAACGCGCGTTCCAAGTTTAATCCTCCATTACCTTCGGGGTATTATGGGAACGCATTCGCGTTTCCGGTGGCAGTAGCACAAGCAGGGAAACTTTGTCAAAATCCATTAGGGTATTCATTAGAGCTTGTGAAACAAGCCAAGAATGACGTAACGGAAGAATACATGAAATCAGTCGCAGATTTAATGGTGATTAAGGGAAGACCACATTTCACCGCTGTTCGATCTTACTTGGTCTCGGACGTGACACGTGCCGGGTTCGGAGACGTCGATTTCGGGTGGGGTAAAGCGGTGTATGGCGGTCCGGCTAAGGGTGGAGTAGGGGCAATACCTGGACTGGCAAGCTTTTTAATACCATTCAAGAACAAGAAAGGAGAGTCTGGGATTGTGCTGCCGATTACATTACCGGCCCAAGCTATGGAAATATTTGTGAAAGAATTAGATGCAATGTTGCAGGGAAAGCCAGTAGATGGGAGTGGACAAAAATCGGTTTTCATTTCATCTTCTTTGTAAAACCTAATGGATACAAGAGGTCGGAGAATCTCAAGTCTAGCTCATGTACAATTTATATTATCATTTTCAAGCTAGGACATTTTATATGTTTAGGGATTCAGATCAACAGAACGATCTTATTTCCTTATTATTAGGGTTTTTCCCCTTTAGAAAAACGAAATCGTGTGGGACTCGTTTCTTCATGTTGTAGAATTATATATTTGTATGCTAACTTATCTTTGTGTTGCTATATTTGAGTGGAAATATTATATATACGTGGTTTGATCTTCTCATCTTAAAATGATTTTTTTTCATTATTATTAATCTAATTAAACCTTTATTTATAAGGGTGACCAAACTCCAATAAAAATTAAAAACATACAAGTATAACATAAATTAAGGTAAAGTACTGTATAGTCGCTAAATTATAAAATTGTTTTTATTTTGATCATTAAACTATTTTTCAATTAGATCACTTAATTATTAAATTGTTATCAAATTATTAACCGTTAACATTTGACGAAAATGATGACATATTAATTAAGTGAATTTTTACATTATACTTTTGATCATTATTCTATTAATTTAATCTTAACTTTACTTAATTATGAAGACTTGTCACACTTGATAAAATACATTCTCTTTGTATTTGATCATAAAACTATTAAATTAGTCTTAACTTTACATAGTCATGAAGACTTGTCACATTTGACAAAAGATATTCTCTTTGTACTTATCATAAAAGTTTGCGATACTTGATAAGAGACGTTATCTCAATGACTTAATCATTCGTGTAATGATTTTTGAATGGATGATTTTATGAGTACTAATGAAAATTAAGACCCAAGCCCACAAATCAAGCAAAAACACGGTATAAAACCCTCAGACCTCGAATCATCACCGGATATTTCAAAGAACCCAAACCTAAATCTTTTGGAGCTAAAAAGAAATTTTTGACCACTCCACTAGATCTAATAATTGATTAATATCAAAAAAGATCATTTATATAATTTAAGTAATTGTTAATAAATAAAATAATATATAATAAATTATTTAATATAATTTAAAATATTTATCATTTAAAAATTATTTAATATTTAAAATATATTTTTAATAAATATTAATAATAAAATTGAAATAAAAGTGACCAATATGGTATTTTACCCAAGTTTTTTCTTTTATCATATTCACCCAAACTTATCGAAGCCTACAAAGCGAATCCGAGCGAACTCGACTGAGGTGTTGCATCCTCACCACCCGTTTCTTCTTCAGTGACGTAAACAAAAAAATGGTCCAAAAAAAACAGCTTTAATTTCCCACCTTTAAACCTCTTCAATGGCGAAGACTCTAATAACTACTCGCCCCATCTTCTTCTTCTCATCAATAAAAATTAATCTTTTACTTAAATCCTTCCCTCCCTTTTCGCACTCCTATAACGAATCTTCTTCCTCTCGAACCACACGTTTGGCAATCAAAAACCGTTCAGATTCAAGCTTCTTTTGGTCCTCCAACATTAATAAATCAATCAACGACGATGAAAACAAGGTTTGGAATTTTGGGTCACCGCGGATTTTCGATAAAAGCTACTAAAGTTAACGATCCTGGCTCTGTTGACTCCCCTCTCGTTCAATCTATGGAGAAAAAGGTATATGTTTTCTCTTTCTTTTTATACTTCTTCTCTTTTTGGTTTAATTCAAAATATGATTTTTCTCCCTCGCCGTAATTGCTATTTACTTGTTTCTGTTTAGGCCAAGGAGATGAGGAAGTTCAGTTTTTATTTTTTTTTTGAGCTGCAATTGTTAGTTAAAATAGTTATGTTAGGCTATAAAGTTTGATTTGCTGTCAATTTGGTCAAATTAATATCTATGTATAGCTGATTGAAACAATATTTAGAGAGTATGAAAAATAAGAGGATTTCTAAATTAGTTTATTATGTTCAAGCTGCAATCAGCTTGGCTAGAGCCGACAATATAAAAATTAGAAATTTTTTTTGTTACAAAATAAAATTTTCTTTACAAGAACGATGTGCTTGAGAGTTGTTCATGTTATCTGGTCAAATGTTTTAATCTGAATTCTAGTAAATACGTCTGAAATGTCAGTTATTTCTAGTTGAATGATATTGTTCATTTTATCCTAAATTGCTATAGCCTTTATTCACTTGGTGTTTCGAGCTTTTCATTCAATAATTTCAGTATAGTCACCAGCTTGTTTACTTCTACGCATTTTAACTACTAATTTTGCTTATTCACTGTTGTTCATATAGATTGTATAGTTATTGTCTATACTTATTGGAGTTAAGCATTTAATTTGCTTCCCCAGATCAAGGAACATTTGAATGCATAACCAGTCATTGTAAAAGATGTCTGGAGATGGCCGTCATGTTTGGTAAGCCATTTTCACTTGTTTAATTGGTTGATTGGCCAAACTGCTTAGTTAGAGGTGCACAAGCTTCTTGCTTCGTTCTTACTACTGTTATTGGAAGTTGTAGTTAAATGTTACAGTAAAGCTGCGATGGCTGTCATGTTGAAGTACCAAAAATTGTGAGGGTTGAAAGAAAGTCAAGCTCACCCTTTTACCTGTTCTTTTTGATTCTAAGAAGATCGCTGAGGGTTGGAAGTCTGTTTTAAACATATCTGTATGGCATTTTGCTTTATTGCTGAAAAACATGTAAATCATTAAATAGGATCGCTAACATGTATGTTTGAATCACTCTACAAACTGTCTGGCCTTTCGGATACAAGGTTTGTTTCGGATTAAAAATCAGATGTGCAGTTAAGCAACTCTCATAGTTTCACATCTCTTTTCTTGAGTATCAAATTGTGATAATCTAGACTTGCCTTTGTTCTTGAACTTCATAGTGCAGAGTGTGATTTACATGTTTTGTGAGCTTACAGTGTACTTGGCCTAACAGTTTGCACGGTTTCTGTACTGAATCAACCTTCCTTATTGCAGCATTGACGTTGTTTCTTCCGCATTTGACGGACAATCGGCCGTCAACAGGCAGAGGATAGTTTACAAAGCCATATGGGAGGAGTTGCAAAGCACAGTGCATGCAGTACACCAGATGACTACTAAACACCCCAGTGAAGCAGCAGCAAGTCACCAGTGAGGAAAGGCGTTGCCGACATTATCGACGTGAAAACCAAACTCGGTTCCGATAATTCTCCTCGGTTTCCTTGTCTCATGAAGAGTCTTCTATCTGTTGGGTTAGTGAGAATTTGTTTTCTCCCTCCCCTTTATATTCCATTGCCTTAAACAGTCGAACCGAACATATCACTGCAAAGGGAAAGATAAAGTTGTTATTAGGTACATTATTAACAAAAAAAATTCAATTTTACAAGCGCTTCATTTCTTTATTTAGTTTTCTTAATTATAAAGTACGCCTGCATGTAACTTTTTTATTTTTATTTTTTTGAATACATGCATATAAAATTTAAAAGCTAGCGTAGTTGGTTATTTGAAGAGCAAACCAGATAAATGTTTCACTTTTATCCCTAAATAGTGGTATAGGCTCTAATGTCTAATCATATGTCCTCTGATAATAAAATTGTTATAAAAGTTGTTAATTACTTTGTAAATATTGATGTGTATTATGTAATAATATGATGTGACATAAATGATAACTAATAATGTATTATGTCTTTGAAATCATTATTTAGAATGAAATTGAAAGTTAGATCATTATTTTATTTAAACCCTATATTAATTATCATTTATGTCATGTCATTTGGGGATGAAATATAATTTTTAAAAGTTTTGAGATTAATTTAAAATGACTTTCGTAGTTTGAAGATAAAATTGAAACATTTAAAAATTTGAAGTTCAATGTGGAGTGAAAATTATAATTTAGGGACATGCAATCACTTTTAAGTATTAATTATCAGAATTTAAGATGAACCGTAGCTAATAAGGTACATATTTTTATCGTCATAGAAATTACCCATAATCCAACTTTCGACCCTAAAATTGTTCGCTATCATTTGAAAATAATCAAATTAAAATCTATAGGATAGTTTTGGTTAGAGGCATATTCCCTAAATGGAAAAAATAATTTTTTAAGTAATTTTAAGATATATTTTCCGTGATATATATATATATGGACAGCACAAACGGTGATATATATATATAGACAGCAAAGAGGTTGAGATATATAACATGATCATGCTACGGGGTACACGAATACTTGAAGGTGTCCTAATTAAGGAATCTTTCATTAAAAATATAAAAGTATAATAATAAAATAATTGGTTAGTCTGTTTATATTGTCAAGACAACCCGACAATTTGTATCATATTATACGACTTTGATTTCTTAAAAAAATTTCTTTATTTCTTCAATTAATAGGTAATTGTATTTTAAGTAACTAATACTTTTAACATTATTATATTTAAGCCCTGTTTTTCCTAAAATTATGATTTAATTATTATTAAATATATTGTTAGTTTAAAATTAATAAAACCAAGTATTAATTCCTAACTTTTTTATTATTTTTTTAAAAAAATATTTTAAAATTAATAAAATCAAACTCTAATTTCCTTAATTTTTATACTTTAATTATTTAAAAATGAAACAACTTATTCCTTTCATCCTAATAATATGCGTTAGATAAACAGGTGATATACGATACCTAAAGTCAAATGCCCAAATATGTAATTTCCTTTCTTGCTTTTAAATTAATGGCAACATGGTGTATTAAAAAACTTAATTAGCTTATATAAAAATACGATAAATTTGTTTATAAAACGCCATCAATCAAGACATGTTGGCACAAGTTACCAATCACATTGCGAGGGTTCTAGTCTGTGGACCACCTCCAATTATATTCAGCTTCTTCACTTTACCAACGTAGCAAAAACATGAAACAACCCATCAGAATCAAAATCCTCTACATTTCTCTCGCTGTTTTCTCGATTGTTTCAAGCGAAACCAGCATCAAATCCACGGCCATGAAACTTTTTGACGCACACTGTCACCTTCAAGACCAAAGAGTTCTCGACATGGCTCCCCTGCTCATTGAAACCGCCCTTGGTGCCGGAGTTGTTTACATGGCCGTCGACGGGATAACCGAGGTATATACATAACTCTTAATTATCTTCCTTTACTTGTAACGGTAAACTCACTAATGGATCGATGGAGGTTGGCCGTCTTGAAATTTTCAAATAAATTTATTTTTTGTTATTTTCTATTAATAGTTTGTTTTTATCCTTCAAATTTTATAAGTTTGTGTGATAAGTAGGAGTTATATTAGTCGGGATAACCTCTTTTCTTTTCTCAGAAAGACTGGCATCTAGTGAAAGAAATGAGTGACGAATATGAATCTGTGATTCCAAATTTTGGACTGCATCCATGGTATATATATATATGTATAATTGTGCTTTGGGTCTCCAAACTTTAATTTATTTTCTTCAGTTCCTTAATTATTGCTTTTTACAGGTTCGTTGAAGGAAGGAGTCCCTCTTGGTTCGACACTCTCAAACAGTTATTTGAAGCAAACCCTTCGGCTGCTGTCGGGGAGGTCCGTCGTGTATATTAACATCTTCTTTAAGCCTCTTAATTACCCCAGAAAATATAATTTTCCATACTCTATGTTAGTATGAAGAAATAATAAATATTAATCCAAATAAAAACAAGTATAGGTAATCAATCATTTTGTTTTGTTTTCAATAAGCAGAGACAAACCATCCTAGAAAATGAAGATAGAGACCCTAATCACCCAGAAAAAATGAGAGATAAAATCGTCGAAACTTGATCGTTGCTAAAAAAAGTATAAGAATTTAAGGTAAAAAAAAAAGCCTTCAATGGCAGAACGACAAAGAAAAAAGAAGTAGCCTTAAAATTAATATTATATTATAATAACACATATGTTTATTATAATATTTATAATATGTGAAGACATAAAAACAATATATTATGTAATTAAAAAGTAGCCTTGGAATTAAATTTCAAAACCATGTTACTTAAGATATAATATTTATAAATTTATTAACTTCTTCCAGTTTTTGCTCATAAATATACGTCATTGTGCGAATTGAGATAATGGATTTTGAAAGAAAAACAAACCATCATTGTAGTTTATAATAATTAACGATAGAAACTACTGCATATTTTTTAATTAATATTAGTAAATGATAAACACTAACCAAGATAATATGCATGCATGCAAATGTTTTTTTTTTCCAGATTGGTTTAGACAAAAGCCCTCTAGCAAAAGGGGTTGATTTTGGGCAACAGGTATGTTTCTTTTTTCAACTTTCTTTGTATTTTTTGTTTTTAATATATATATATTCAAATATTTATATTTAATATGAAGTTTTAAAGATTATTTATTATTTGGTTTGAAGTTGAAAGTGTTCAAGAAACAGCTTGAACTTGCAAGAGAGTTAAAAAGACCAGCAAGTGTGCATTGTCTCGAAGCTTTTCCCGAGCTTCTTCAAATAATGAAGTATGATTTATTCTTAATTATCACATTAATTAATTAATTGAGGTTGACATTCCTAATTATTATTTAATTTGAAGGGAAATGGGACATTTTCCAGCAGGTGTAATACTACATTCTTTCAACGGAGCACCAGAGGTAGTACCTCAACTTACAAAGCTTGGCTCCTACTTTTCATTCTCTGGTCATTTGATGCCATTGGAAGAAGACAAAGCCAGAAAGATCGTCAAAGCGGTAATTCAAAAATTTTATATCCACTTGAATTTCATAAACTTAATTAATTTATATAATTAATGATTTAAAATCCGAATTTCTGAATTAGTGGCATTTGCCTTACTCTAAGCTGACAGGTACCTCTTGATAGAATATTATTAGAAACGGATTCACCTGATGCGCTACCAACAAACCCTCTCTACTTCGTTCCTGGGAATAATACCCTAAATCAGCCTGCAAATGTTCATAGTGTATGTCTTCTTCCTCTTCGCTGTTTTTTTAAAACTATACCATATAAATGATGAGATTCAAATCCGAGATTTTAAAGTATTTTCCGTACTAAATTAATCTCGAATAAATTATATAGAATTCAGTGATTAAGTAATGATGGGGATAGTTCAATGACTTGGTTTTTGCAGATACTTATATATGTTGCATCCTTACTAGAAATGAGTAAAGAAGAATTGGCAGAGATAAGTTACAATAATGCAGTTCGTGTGTTCTCCTACAAAGGTTCGAAAATTCCATCGAAATGAAATCATTTCAATGCCCATGGGAACTGCCATATCAATATTGTTTAAGTAATAATGGAATAAGGTAATTATATCATCCGCACCTTGTACTGTTGTATGTTAAAACGACCCATAACTAATAATGCGAAAATAATAATACTAATAATTACGAGTCATGTTTAATTACATGTCAAATTATTCATCCAGAGTGCATTTTATTTTATCAATTTATGGATCAGTTTGAGTTGGGCTACAGCTCGATACTTTTCTAAGTCCACATTGTGCTTGGGTTAGCCCACAAGTCCAGTGCACAATAAACAAAATTTGTTAATATTGAGATTCTATTTCTCAATAAATATGATTAATTTATATTTCAAATATGAAATTTAACATATTTAATGTTCTAGATTTATAATTATTCTTTTAAATAATGGTATCTCTGTTATTCATTTTATTTTTTTTGCTTTAGAACCACTGAAATCAGTACATTCTTTCACATGGATTTCTTGACATCCATTTTATTCCAACTATGTATTTGTGGAGGAAATGGTATCATTTTGTTCAAAGCCACTACCAAGTGCCAATTTTATATTATAAAAAAAGAAAAGAAAAAGAAAGAATCTGTAATAGGGACAGGAAGAGGAGGTTGAGACTCACTGAAACCAAGATGAGCCAAAGAAATATAACTAGACTAGCTGTTAATTATATTAATGAGGAAATGATCACGAGCGGCAGTCTTAATTTATGGTTAAAAAAATATGATATCGGTTTTGTTATTATTTAAATAATAAAATTGGTAAAAAAATTATCAAAAACATTATTATTTCTACCGATTTTGTTATTATTTGACGTTTTACTGGGTTTTGTAATATATCCAATAAAAAAAATAATAATGTTTTAGATACTTCTTTACAGGATATATTACTAAACTCGATAAAACGCTCAATAATATTTTAGGTATAAATAATAATATTTTAAATAATTTTTACCTATTTTTTATTTAAATAATAATAAAATCGATAATATTTTTTTAATTGTATATTAAAGTTTCCGCTCACTATATAACTTCCCATATTCATTGGGCTGCTGAATCTGTCACTTTCATGGAACAATAAAAATACCCTTTAAAGTTTAAGAATATTAGAGTGGCGTGTCCGTCCACTCATCATTTCATCATTATTCCTCCTAAAGTTCCAAAATAACCCAAAAATTCATTCATAATATCATTTCATTCCAAAGAACCTTGAAAGAGCAAAATATGAAAATGATTAGACAATAATATATATATATATATATATATATATATGATAATGTGTTGTTTATGTAATTATGTCATATTTAAAAGTCCAGTTTTTTTCCAAGACAAAAGCCACTCTACAAAATATATGTTTGTATATGGTGTAGTAGTAGTTCAGCTGTCCTGTCTTTGTTGTAGCCAAGGTCAATCCCACTCAATGATTTCAAGTCCATTAATTAATTTTAATTGCAAAGTTCCCCAACTCCCTTCCAACCCTATTTGTTTTGTTCCTTGACAAGTCACCGCCTTATTGCTTGTACAAATTAGGATTTGCAACACATTGCTTTTAAGTTAACAAACATGAACCAAATCAATCATCAATTCAAATTTATGAATATGTATTCGAGCTATAAATATGAAATCCTAACATAGAGGGAAGAAAACTGGTTTTGTATACACAGAGAAACTGACTTCACTCAATTTTGGTGAATTGAATTTTCTCGTTTTTCGTACAAATAAATTAAAAGAATTGCAGAAATTAAGATTTAGCTTCTAACATACCGGTTGCTTGTATACGTCGCTAGGTTTAACTGTTAAATTCAAGTTCTCTCTTTTTCAAGCCCGGGGAATATGCATCTTCCTGTAGAGATTGATCTCTTCATTGCTAGAGGACTTCTAACCAAATTGAAAACCCCATTTTTGTGATTCGATTTGCAACAATATTCCGTTGCATCGAATTGTTTTGAGGATCCAATCCCCATTGACGACTGCAAATGTTGTTCATCCTCGTCTTCCTCGCTGATGTGTAATATATCAGCAATGGACATCATTTGTCCATGTGAAAACACTGAAGAACTCATCGAAACGGACCTTCTTAAAGGTCGGTTTCGATCCCCATCTCGTTCGATTTCCAACACCGCCATGTCTCTAACATCTTCTTCACCGGCCGTTTTCCCACCGTCTTCATTAACGACGAGGCTAACAACAGCTTCTTCTCTAACACCACTTTCCAGATCCTGGATCACCGATATACCTTCATTCCTTTGCTGATACACACTTGCAGATACACCGACATTCCGGCCGGGACCTTCCTGGACCGTCGCGGCGATCACCGGTTGGTTGGTGAAGGCGATATTGGCGCGGCAAAGGGGACAACTAGAGTGTGATTTTAACCAAGTATCGATACATGGAACGTGAAAAGCATGGTTACATTTAGGCAACAATCTCAAACTCTCATCTTCCATGAACTCACTCAAACAAACCGAACAATCGGTTCCTTCGATCAAACCCTCGTTTTTCTTGAACTTGCAAACCGTAATAGCCTTAATAAGACTTTCATCTAACCCTTGTGAACCAGTTTGCCACCCATCGTGATTCGCTTCATCTCTGTTTTCATTGAAATCTAAGCTCGTATGACTCTGCCTACGCCTTCTGCAATACTTGGAGATGATCGTGTAGTAACTTACCAAGATGAATGCGCTCGCCAAGATCCCGATTAAGGCTATAATGAGAGGTGAGAAATCGGAGGAGGAATCGTATTCGGCGGGGAAAGGAGGTGGTGGTGGGAAAATAAAATAACACCATTGCGGGCAATACATACTACAAACACCTTGAGAACAATCTTTGAAAGTTTCATAGGGTGTCCAAGGATTTGGAGTGCTTGATGAAGAACTCATGTTTCAATACTCTTTGGATCCAAAGGAAAAAAAATGAATCAAAAAGAAAGCGGTGAAGGGGGGCTTAGAACGGGGTGTCCATCTCCTTATCTTCTGCTTTATCCTCTCATATTTATGTGCACAAAAATTAAATTATTATGATACAAAATACAATACAATATTTTAAAAAAATCACAATAATTATATAAATATTTTAGAATTTCTTAATATGAGAAAGAAGTTGTGAATTAGCTTAAGTACGTACCGTCTAAGCTTTGGTATTGGTTGGTGAAGTGTAGGTGAGTGGACTTGTTTAGAATCCCCATACATAACATCACCAACCGCCTTACCAATTGATTTTTGCCACGTTTTTGAAGAATACTACCATCTGATATCTGAATTAATTATGGTGAACAATGAAATTTTGCACAGACGATTATATCCCTTTTGGTGTGTAATTGCACAAATATAATATGTAGGCATTATTGGTAGATGGAAGGTAGCTTGATAAGAAAATAACCTAGAGTTACGGCTGCCGTTTTCAATATTTTTTAAAGGGATAGTGTAACTTATGTTTATATAATTGGATTAAACAAACTGGATATCAAATTCAATTTTACAATTAAATCCAAATATTTAACTGAAAAAGGTTAAATTAAATTATACTAGTATCTTTTAATTTTATAATAATCCAAAAATGTATTCAAAATTTAATATTAATTAAGAATAAAACAATATATTACAACGTTAACCGATACATCGGTGTGGATTTTATATGTTTGCATCAACATGATGTCACTTGTTTTCAAAATTATGAAGGCATAATCATCCAATAAAATTTGAAAACGATCCGGGCATATTTTTTATTAAAAAAATATGGAGGTTTGAGAATTATTTTAAGATATAAGTAATTTACTAAAATGTAAGTAGAATTTGTCACGAGAGAATGATAAGTTCTATAAAAATATATTAAAAAATAGAACTCATCATATAAGTCGAAAGAAAAATAATTATGTCCTCATAATTTTTTTTAATTATTTATTATATTTTATGGAATATATCATTTTTCCATAACAAATTTTACACATATTATAACAAATGATTTAGACCATAATATAATTCTTAAACACCTATATTTTTAATTTTTTATCTCGCATGGATTAGTTGGCCAACGAAGTCCATAACCATCCACTTTGTTTTATTATATGCAATGCAATTCTGAAGTGTTCTAATATAAGCCCAGAAGTGAATCAACAAAGCTACCAAAACAGTCCATGGGCTTTAAGATGCATACATCCATTGCCCAATGCTTTTGTCCTCTCCGGGTGAGGAATGGATCATATTTGATTAGACGCTCTTTTTAATTTTTTTTAATCGCAGCCCAAATATGCTTTGGATATGATATTGATTTTTATAATTTTTACTGGTAAGAGCATTTATATTGATTTTAAGTATCAATTAATAACTAATATCAAATTCAAACTTTAAAATTCGAATAATTCACTTATTTATATAGGATTAAAAATATATTATTTATAAACATAAGTTTAATTTTTTTGAATTAATAACTAGTATCCGATCTTTTAATCGACTAACCCAAGTCGGATTCTACAGAGGCAAGGGCGACCCTCATAACCCAATTTATTTCATTCACATATGTTAGAGTTTGAACTCTTGACCTTGCTTAATGAATCTAGTGTCTCATCTCACTGAACCAGTTGATTGTTAGTAGTTTAAATTTTTTATTGTAAACTATAATTCTTATACGATTTAACAAGATCAAATGTTATTTTTTAAGTAAGATTTAAAGTTTAGGTTAAGAGTGAATAAAATAAATCCACTTGAGTCTTTCGTTTTATAATATTTTTTATAATATTTCATATGTATTAATCAATAAATAAAACGTAAATAAATATTAAAATATCTTTATTATAAATTAGTATAATCTTTGCTATGCTTAATATATTTTTATATATCATAATAGTTTTTCTAGATATTATATATTTATATAAATTTTTATAGGTTAATGACACGTATTATAGGGACATTAGCATATCCTCTGTGTATATTTATATGGTATTGCTTATTATACTGCCATTTTTAACTTTAGCTATTTTTCCTTCTTTCTCTCTTAAAATTAAAATGAAAAAGAAAATCATTTGCAAGTAAATGTGAAGGAAATACGGCGGGGGGGGGGGAACCCTCACTAAATCACTGTGATCGTTAAATATCTTGAAGGGGAATAAAAAAAAATCCTCCCGAGTCATCTATCTTTTCCCGATCAAACTATAGATTCGCCCTCTTAATTTCGGTCTAATTACTTTGAAACCCAACCGATTAGATCATCGGAATAAATAAAGGACCTCCAATTCGGCCGGAGAGAGTCGGGGTCGCTGACACGTGAAGAAGCCGACGGAGCGCATTCGCAAGTCAAAAAGTAAAAGGAAATGTCGCAGCAGCAAATGAACAACAACAATAGCGGTAGTGGCAATATTCCGGTGAGCGAGAGGTATTGGACTTTAGTCGATAAAGCTGATAAGAAGTTTTCTAAGATCAGAGACTTGCCTTACTATGAGCGGAACAGGTATAGTATTTATATTTTTGTGAAAATTTTCTTTTATATTTATCATGTTTTTGACATTATGATTTCGAGCTTTTATTTCCTTTGATTTTTCCGCAATTTTCAAGGTAAATAAATTAAATTAGAGGAAAATAAATTTTAAAACCTATCTTCCCGAATGGTTTATTTAGAATGTTGAAACAAATTCTTTGACCATCTTCCGGAAGGCACCATTTGGTTGTTAATTTTGCCTTTTGTTTCTCTTTCTAGAAACAGAAAGCAAGAATGCATTTGGATGCGGACCTGAATTATGATTCCAACAGCTAAAACTTGAAGTTGCAACTAAATTCTGAGGAAAAAATGTTTATTTTTAATAAAATATCAAATAATTATGTTGAATTGATATTGCATTTTTTTCTTTCATTCATTTTTATTAATTATGGTTTTACTTTTACCACTTGCTTTTCCCTGTTAGGAATTATTTGGGAAGAAAATAGAGAAATGTAGAAAACGAGTCTTCAAACCAATAATCGAAGAGAAATTTAGTAACTTGTAAGCGTGTGGGTCTTTTACAGTGTAAATAAAACCATAAGTTGTGGAACATTCTTTGAAAGACAATTGAATGATGAATTTGGTATGTTTGGTTTTCTACTTTATAGGTACGATACATACTTTTACAAGGTATTCAAGGTCTACACTCAGCTGTGGAAGTTCCAGCAGGAAAATCGGCAGAAGATAGTGGAAGCAGGGCTTAAGAGATGGGAGATTGGCGAGATTGCGTCACGAATTGCTCAGCTTTATTATGGACAGTATATGCAAACAAGTGAAGCAAGTTACTTGTCTGAAGCCTATATCTTTTATGAGGCGATATTGACAAGGGAGTATTTCAAAGAGGGATCAATTCAGGATTTCAATCTTGCGAATAAACAATTGAGGTTTCTGGCTAGGTTTTTGATGGTGTGTTTGGTTCTAAACCGGAGAGAAATGGTCCATCAGTTAGTTAATCAGCTGAAGATGTTGGTTGATGAATGCAGGAGGACTTTTCAGGTTTATTATTATTGTTGTTTGATTGCTCCTTTTCACATTTTTTTTCTGGACGGGATTGAATTTTGAATCATGGAGGAAAGGGGTAATCATCACTGTTAGTAGTATATCATGGAATAACAATACATAGTAAACTTTAACATGGGGTTGGATGTTTGGGTTTGAATGAATGATGATATTTTATATTGTCGTCTGTACATCTGCCTTCTATTTAAAAAAAGAAAAACAAAAGGTGCCACTGAGAGTCAAGTAGTTTTTGAATGTTGAACTAACTGTAATACGATATTAGCTTTTTAAATATTTTTGGTTCCTGTCCTTTGGTCAAGGTTTCATTAGGTGTTAGATGTTTTTTAGGAACCTCCAAATTTCCCTTTAATATTCAGATTTGTCCTTTATTTGAATGGTAATGGTTATTTGTGTACAGATTAATGATTGTAATCCATCTTTTCTCCAGGACACTGACTTTAAAGAATGGAAGCTGGTGGTTCAGGAGATAGTAAGATTTTTGAAAGCTGACACTGCTTTTATGAATATCAGGCCTTTAAGGTATAGTCTTGTACTGGACCCCCATCCTGATGTTCTACCTCAGGTTGCTGCACCAGTTGCAAGAAAGAATTTGAGATTGCGAGATGCTGTGCTGAGCAGCTATCATCGTAACGAGGTTAGGGATTAAGATTTAAGGGTTTTCCTCTCTTTCTTTTTCATAAATGATATATATATATATATATAGCTTTAAAAGTTGAATTGTTTTTTGCCTTTGCCATATATAATGAATTAAAAATAGTCTGTAATCTATCTTTTTCTGCTGTTTATTCTTGATCAGGTCAAATTTTCAGAGCTCACCCTTGACACCTTTAGGATGCTTCAGTGCCTGGAATGGGAGCCCAGTGGTTCTTTCTACCTGTCAACTGGTGGTAAAAGTGGTCAGAATGGAGCCTTAGGATCTAGTCGCATTAACCACTCCCAAGATATTACTGATCCTACTTTGCCACCTAACCCGAGAAAAGCTGTATTATATCGACCATCACTAACACATTTTATTGCAGTAAGTTCAAAACCTCTATGATTAGATATTTTCTTCAGTTTGTAGTTTTGGGGTCGTTTATGTTGCTGTTGGCTGCCAAAACACTGCTTTTAGCAGCCAACCAATCCTAAGGCGTTTTGTTTTAAGGAAGTGGTTTACTATTATTATTAAAATAAGATGGCAATAGATTAAACTTTTTTTGGGGGACCAGTAAAGAATAAACTTTAATGAATTAAATATTTTTTGGAAAGAAAAATATAAGAGAGGGAGAGAAGAGCTGGAGTGTGGCTGTCGAGCTTTTAAATGGTTGTACATTTTAAATGATCAAGAGAATAACTGTATGAGTGATTGATTGGATGATGAATAACTTAAACTCGTTGCAATTTTTAAGAGAGGCCAAGTTGGTAAGACCTACTTAGGCTCTTGCTTTCTGTATTAGTACAGCGGAAGTGTAGGGATCCAAAAGAAAATGCAGTACTTGCAAGCTGCTCGTGAGGCATCAATTCTGGTTTATTTCGATAACATATCTAAGTAAATATTAATTGTAATTTGTGTATAGATCAAGGAGATTTTTACCTTGATAAATTGCTGTTTCTATGTCCATTAATGAGATAATTTCTCGCTCTTCATGGAATTAGAATTTACTGGGGGCTTTTTAGTTAACTACATGCCTTTTCTTGCATGTCAGGGGATATTGTAAAACACATATTTTTGAGACAATTGATGTAGCCTGTTTATGTAACTTACCTGCCAATTTCTACAATGAATAGGGGTTTTACTAATAAAACTGGGGCTGTGTGATGACTACCTTTCTGTACCTTCTGTGAGCAGGTTCTGGCAACTATCTGTGAAGAGCTCCCCCCTGATGGTGTTCTCTTGGTATATTTGTCAGCTTCAGGTGATCAGTTGTGGCTCCTGCTCCTGTTCATTATCATAATTGCAGCTGTTTATGCCATTTATAATAAAATGCTTCAGGAACAACTGGACATACATCGTCTCCCTCAGGTTCTGGGCCTTATACCAATACAACAGAGAATATTACAAGGGACTTCCAGTCTCATACAATTCACTCAGATGGAACCTCCACTTCATCTATGAGTTCACCAAGTGATAGCCCCAACCCTTCTGCTAGTGAAAACAAAGGGGATTTTATCAGTTCTCACACTGGTTGCTTGCAGTTTGGTAATCGTGGGAGTGGAGGTATTCACAAAATTTTAAGCAATTAGCAATCACTTATTCATAATCTACTATTGTATTCATTGTTTAGCTTATTTATGGTTTAATCTTTACTTGTGGGATGAATCAAAGAGATTGCATAAGTGATCAACCTCCTCAGAAATCCCTTCTCCATTATAAATTTGATGTTTCTTGTAAAGGCATAATTCATACCCATACACAATGGCAGTCAGTTGAGAACCTTGGGATCTTGTTCAATGATTCTCGTATTCTGTTGTAATGGTAGCAGGTGTTCATACTAGTTAATTTTAGGGTTTGGTTTTCTTTCAGTAGGCTTTATCAAACATGTCACATTATGTGAAAATGTAATATGCAGCATCTCTGCTATTTCTAATATTTTGTCAACCAATAAACATGCCAAGCATATTGTTTCTATGATTTTGAAACTTTCTTCCTGGCATGATCCATATGCTTAAGGACCTTCGTGGTCTTTAAGTTTCATATTTTTAATATTTATGTTTGTACTGGTCTTAGTCATTTTCCATTTGAGAATTATGTAAGTCCTCTGATAATGTGATATTACTTTATTCAGTCTTAACGCTGTTACCCTCGTGTGTGCTAGAATTATAAATGTTTGTATTGTCATCAACTAACTCATTTCCAGGATTGAACTGTATTTACCCAAGCGACTTGATTCCATTCACAAGAAGACCACTCTTCATAATAATTGAAAGCGATGTTAGTGAGGTGTTTAAGGCAAGTGTCGAACCATTTCTTGTTTATTGTTGACAACGTGTTTTGTGCATAATTTATAATAATACCTTCTCTTACCTTATTTTATGTATCAAACCCATGTCAGAGCTCATCTTGTCTTAAAACATCTGCAGGCTATTAGTGGAGCTGAGAAAGGAGAGCGAGCTGCATTGTTTTTATCCCCTAGCTGTTCATTTCCAATTAGCACCAGCGATTCTTCTCGTCACTCAGTTGGTAGCCTGTTCACCATTTTTCTAACAGCTCCGCTGCAGGCTTTTTGTCTGTTGCTTGGCATTTCAGGCTCTGATGTGGAAATGGTAAGGAACAAATCTTCTGTTTGGCATATTTGTTTGTCCTTTTATTTTGTTTGGTATATTAACTTGTGGGAATTTCCCAGGACACATATGAACATGCTGAGAGCCTGCTTTCTTCGTCATTGAATGACTGGGGCCTGACTTTGGCAACATCAGATAACCTTGATCCTGTCTGGGCACAGATTCTTAGAGATCCATTCCTACGGCGGTTTCTTCTTAGGTAATTCCGTGTTCTATTGTGAGGGTTGAAATATTTAGGGAAGCCCATGCTCCATGGTAAAGGATCTCTATTTGACTAGTTTTCTCTTTAATGTAGTGGTATAATGAGTCCTTTTTTAATGTTTTTGAAAAACTTTAACTTGGTTTTTTCTAGTGTTGAAATTGAACCAGATCAGCTAATTGAAGTGGTTGGACTGTTAACAGGCAATTTAATTGGCCTGGTACACTGTATGAAACGTTCATTAACTAAGTCAGTTGAAAACCATTTCTATATATATTCCTCAATCCCTCTTATTTATATTAATGAGATTTTAAACTTTATCCTTCTAGTTTTATAGTAAATACAATACCATTAAGACAAGTAGAACAACCCAGCACCATTGTCTTGCATTTGCATGTAGGACTTGTAAGCAAGATCCTTTGGCATTTTGCGGTAGATTTCCGGTTAAAACTTAGTTTCTCTCCGATTTGCAGATTTGTTTTTTGTCGGGCAGTATTGACATTGTTTGTGCAAACATACAACAAGAAGGAATTCCATCCCGAATGTATGCCAGCTCTTCCGAACTCTGTTTCGTCAATGACGAATGCCTCCCAAACCGCTGTTCTGCAGCTGGCTAAAACGTTCCATGCAACCAAACGGTTTGTTTTCACAGAAGCAATTTCACTTCCCGATCATATAAACAGTGGTATGGAGTCTTGATTTTTTTTTTCTTACTCAAAAGTTGGATTATCCATAAATATATGTGAATTTACGTCTGTTTGAGTTGAAAACCGAGTGTTTAATGATTGAAATCTCGAGTGCATGCATGTTCATTCCTATGGTCATTGTTTGCGTGTATGTCTGTAAAAATAGAAATGGATTTGAAGGATGTTTTTGTAATGTAATGACGAAAGGTTCATTTTTGAAACCTGGCCAGCTATGGCTTTGATTTCTATCTATATTCTTTTGAAGTTCATTTTACTGTTTAAGATTATATGGTTTCATAATTTAATATAAATATAGATACATATTCATTGAAAAATCGATCTAAACTGAACTATTATCTTATTGTACTCATCTGAATTGAAAATTCCTTATTTAAATGGGATTCAATTGAATCGAAGTTTATTAGAGCCTCGGACAAAATCTAGGAGCAAAGGTGAAAGCAAAGACACATGGAACTACCCTGACACAATCCAGTTCCATTTGGTGGAAATTTGTTGACACATTCTCTGTTGCATAAATCATTTACACAATTTGCAAGCACAAACGGAACAGCGCATACACTTCCTTCTCCTTGAGCCATTATCCCATTTCCTGTATTTACAGAGTTATAATTATTTGCCTTAATACAGAAAATGAAATATTATCGTTTCTTGACAAAATCAGATCAAATATATTTTACCAGCAGCAAAGCCGAGGATAACGACAATAAGGATGACCGACTTCTGCAAATTCTCCATGCCTAAATTTCTTCCTTTAAGAATCAGTTATGTTGAACACGAAAATCAAGTAAGATCGTCGATGGGAACACAATAGCAATTAGCAAAGCTCATTGGATTTGACATTATATAGCTTAAATTGGGGGTAGGTAAGGGGGATAGCTGAAGTAGGAGTAAGACAATCTTTATCTTTGTTAGATTTAGTTATTGTACAGAAGGAAAGGTATCTTCACAATTGATTTAGTTTCTAAGTTTGTTTAGGCTTAGTTTGGTTAGACTAAACAAAATTTTAACTTATAAAAAATTAGCTGAATATATATATATATATATATATATATTTGGAAATTGATATGAACTTGTTAATTGCTGGGCATATTTTGGAGTTTTGGTCAAAATCAAACCAACATATCTTTATACTACGTATGGTAATTTAAGCAGAAATTCCTGCATCTTATCGTTTTAGCATATTCAATTAATTTGGACACAATCTGATTAACTAAGAGATAAATTGTGAATTAAAAGTTTGATGTATTTAAGCGTTTTCCTTTGTTTTGCACAGATGGCGATGACTCAAAAAAACACAGCAACAGCTCATTAACTGAGCTTGCTCAAGGTGAGAAAGTGGTGTTTGGGGTTTTATTTTGGTTGAGTTGTGGAATTATATGTGACTGGAGTAAAACAGGTGTGATTTGCATTTTCTTTTTATCATCGGAATTTATTTATGTGTTATCCATCATTTGGAGTTAGGCTAAACTACCGACACAACTCACGACTACATCAAAAGGAAGAGGTGGTATAAGTGAAGGTTTTGATGCTACCCAATATAATCCTGATTTTCTTTTAAATAGATTTTAATTACAATCAAGAGATCTTTCATTAATTTAACATATTATATTACTCTTTTGATAACAACTAATGAAACAATATTTATTTTATAATAAAATTTAATATTTTATATTTATACTATATCTTTTAAAAAATCATTATTTTACATAGTTTAATCACTATTTTTAAATTTTATTTGGATTTATATTTTAATATCATTCTATTTCTCATGTAAATTAATAAAAAAAAATTCATAAGATGAATAAATATATAATTTCAAATTTAATAAATTTTATTTACTTTAATCTCTGACTGGTTAATCAATATTAATCTTAAAGTTTGATATTTTTTTTAATTTGTTCTCTAAATTTAGAATCTTTGCGAGATGTGATGATACAACTTATGCGGCATATCACTTAAAAAAATTTATTCAGAGATTAAACTAAAAAAACAACAAATTCAAGGGTTAAATACTATTTATGTACTTAAATTTTCCAAATTCCAAAATGTTTTAAATTTACGGTAATCTCAAAAATCCATAAAATAAAAAGGGTAAATTATGTATTTAAGTCACCCACCTATTCATGAGATTTTATTTTGGTCACCCAATAAATTTTCTAAATCATAAATAACATTATGTTTTGGTTCTGTTTTGGTCATTCATCACTAAAAAATTAATAATAATACCAACATATCATCATAAGATAATGGTGCATCATCATTTAAAAATAAAAATTATCACGTCAACAATTTTATTTATTACTTAACAACGGAAGATCAAATCAAAATAAAAATATATCATTACGTATAATTTAAAGACTAATTTACCCTATGAAAATAGTAATAAACATTACGAATTACATTCGACGGCTAAAGTGTAATTGGCGAATTTAACGAAGACCCCCACCTAAAGCATTTTCAGAGGACAAGGAAAAACAAGAGAAGAATCTTCACCCGGCTTGTTTGAAGCTTACTAGAAAGTATTGATCACTTGTGCTTCCTCAAAGCGGAGAAGAGCGGGTAAAGAAGACATCCAAAAATTATAATCATGGAGCACTCTTATTCTTATTAATTCTACTGGCTTCTTCAAATTTCCTTCTTTCAGTCTTTGCTAAACCTCGTAATTCAATCACTGTAAACCCACTCTCCATTTCTTTCTTTTTGTTGATATTATATGCCATCCTTGCATGACTTGTTTTTATGGAAATTTCATAGGATGCTGAGATTAAGAAAAACAAGAGTCAATGTTATGCCGATATCGACAGGTGGTTTTCTTTTTCTGATTTAATTTTGGGTCTTTCTAATTTTCTTCATTTAGGCTGAATTTCTACTTATTCGGACAGAAGCAAATCTGGGTTTTTATAAGCTGAATTTCTACACCCTATGCCCACTTCTCCAAATCCACCCTAATTTTCTATTTTCTTCCACTTCTCCAAATCCACCCTAATTTTCTATTTTCTTCAAGTATTATGGATTGTTTTTTTTTTTCTTCTTGTTAAGCCTTGCTATTGTTATTGGATCAAACTTAAGTGTTGATCTGATTAACTTGATAAGGTCACTTTTTTATATTATATTATATTTTATATAAATAAATATGATTCTTATAAAAAATTATTTAAAAATACAACTAATTATATATTAAATATATTTTTTCTTAAAAATTAGATAATGTAAAAATTAAAATATTTTTATATTTTTATTAAATATTTATAGTTTAATATTAAATTTTAACTTATTAAAAAAACATATATCACATGAACAATTCGATAAAATATGCATCCAAATAATCTTATATTCATTCAACTAAACATTATAATCTTATATTCTTACTAAACAAACTTAATAATGTAATACAACATTCCTTTAGTAATGTTAAGTATCAATAATCTTATTCACAAATGTAATCTTATGAACCAAACGTTCCGTTAGAGATTCATGGCTTTTCTAACATGTAGGGTCAAATATGCTCTACAATCCTTTGTTTTTTTCCGTAAAAATTCAATTTAGTCCCTATCCTCTTTAATTGAATTTTCGATCGTTTTGTGGGTTGAGAATTAAATAACTCTTTATCTTTATTCTACACGAATCGGCTAGCCAAAACATTCCCACTCTATTTCCATCCGTTTCTTCCTCTTTGGTATTATGGCAGCTTCCTAAACTCCCTTAGTGTTCAAGGTTCATCGACACGAACCAAAACTGATAGCTCCCGCTAAGCCTACCCCTAAAGAATACAAACTATCGCCCGACATTGATGATCAAGAAGGCTTTCGGGTCCAACTTCCGATTATCCAATTTTATCGACAGGATCCTCCCATGCATGGAAAAGACCCCGTTAGGGTGGTCATGGAGGCACTTGCACAAACCTAGTGTTTTGTTACCCATATGATAAAAAATACTTAAAATGAACAAATAATCAAAAGAACAAGGATATTAAGAATCAAATCGCAAAACTATCAAAATAATAAAGAAAAATTTTGATTTTCCAATTCAATATAAAATTTTAAATTACTCGACAATACGAGTTATCTTAGATAACTCGAATAAATCAAATCAAATTATTTATATATATATATATATATATATATTAAGGGTAAAGTATATAAATAGTCCCCGAATTTTTAGGACGTTTGTATTTTGGTCACCCAACTTTTAAAACTTATAGTACATTCATCTAACTTTTAGGGGCGCTTGCATTTTGGTCACCAAACTTTTAATCGTTTACAATAAGATCCCTGTTGTAACCATTTGCTAACATGACACTTAACTAATGTTAACCCCCTCCCCATTCTTCTTCTTCATTTTCTTATTCTTCTTCTCTCGTTCGCTCACCTTTGGTCAGGGATGAGTCACTTCACCATCACCATCGTCGCCTCCCGACCATATCTTGATCCTCGATTCATACTCATAATCGACCGTTTATCCCAAATCACGAGAAAACCGTTCGAACACCCATCCCCAATCTCCGTTGTCAGTCGTCAATGATCGTCATCGCCGGAACTAGTAGGAGCGCCACCTCATTTTGACTAAAACCTCGCTAGCTACTCGCTTAGACTCACTTTCGTTCACCGTGGATAGGGCCTTGAATCTCGTTGGAAAACCCCAAATCCCTTTTTCTATTTTGATCAATTTTTGGTTGATAAGGTTGTTCGTTCGCCACATCACCAACACCGTTGAAGTCATGTCATCGTTCCGAACAAAACCCAGTCGGTCGTGGCTCCTCGTCGTCGTCCCTCCTCCGTAGAGTCAAAGAATAATAAGGCAGATGAGAAGAAGGAGAAACAAAAGGGGGTTAACGGCAATTAAGTGTCATGTCAGCAAAACCTAATGGGAGAATACGACAGGGACCTTACTGAAAACGATTAAATGTTTGATGGTTGTATTGCAAGTTTTAAAAATTGGTTGACCAAAATGCAAGCATCCTAAAAATTTGGGGACTATTTATATACTTTACCCTTTTTTTAATCGAGTAAAATCAAATTTTGATCACTCATAATTTAAAGTAAGGTATTTATACCATGTGTTTGAGGGTTCTAAATGAATAAGTTAAAAAGCTTTTCGATTCAACCATAGCAATATACGGTAAACTACAAAGATGACAAAGCATAAGCACGTCAAGGGTTATGACGCGTGTTCAAACCCCGTTTCATGTGCAAAA